TGCAATTTTACAAAGAAGCTATGCAAATGTTTCTCTACAAGTTCGCTAATCACGTTAAGGAAAAGCTGAACAATATTATTGTTCATATATCCTATAATTCTAATTTTTAAGGTAAATTTTTTTTTTTTTTTTGCCGATAATGGTGTGTCTTTTTATGACGAAAGAAACTATTTAAAAGTTAGACCGATTCGAATAGCAAAGAAAGGCAAAGACAAAAGTTTTTTATTTAATTTATTGAAATTTGGCTGACCATACAACGCTGTTTCGAGTATTGCCAAGTACTCTTCATCAGTGGTCTTTGGAAATAATCGAATTTTTATTTAATTAGTTTATAGTCCGTATATAATTTGTTTGGACTGCAAGTGCCAGGCTTAGAACTCGTGCCTGTCAAATTAGAAGCGATGACTAATCGTCTTTATCCACAAGAAGCCAAGGCTGCACAAACATTCAATGCTCAAGTTCCAGGTTTTATTGACACTTATTTTTATTTAATTAGTGACACCAACCAAAGCACTTGCCGTGCTTTAAATTAGAACGAGCTTATAAACTACAGCTTTATTTGGAAACACAAGTTCAACAATTTGAAAGTTAATCTTTGAGCTTGCCTATTTTTGTTTCAAAGCTATTCTTTTTGTAGAGACATCTGATATGCATATTTTTTTAACTTACTATATGTAAAGCGCCTTTTTTGGGTGCAATTTTACAAAGAAGCTATGCAAATGTTTCTCTACAAGTTCGCTAATCGCGTTAAGGAAAAGCTGAACAATATTATTGTTCATATTTCCTATACTTTTCACAAGCCTAATATTTGAATAAAGTATTAGTGTTGCTATAAAGCTACGCTTTCTTTGTATGGTGACAAAGAAGCTTTATTAAAATTTAGAGAGTTTTCGAATAACAAAGAAAGAAATAAAGGACAAACACAAAAATTTATTTTTAATTTTATTGAAGTTTGGCTGACCACACAACGCTGTTTCGAGTATTGCCAAGTACTCTTCATCAGTGGTCTTTGGGAATAATCGAATATTATTTAATTAGTTTATAGTCCGTATACAATTTGTTTGGACTGCAAGTGCCAGGCTTAGAACTCGTGCCTGTCAAATTAGAAGCGATGACTAATCGTGTTTATCCACAAGAAGCCAAGGCTGCACAAACTTTCAATGCTCAAGTTCCAGGTTTTATTGTCACTTATTTTTATTTAATTAGTGACAACAACCAACGCACTTGCCGTGCTTTTTAAATTAGAACGAGCTTATAAACTACAGCTTTATTTTTGGAAACACAAGTTCAACGAATTGAAAGTTTAACTTTTGGGTTTTGCCTATTTCTTTATTTCTTTTCAAAGCTACTCTTTTTGTAGAGACATTTTGTAATGCATATTGTTTTACTTACTATATGTAAAGCGACCATTCTGGTGCTTTTTACAAAGAAGCTATGCTATGTTATTCTACAAATCCGCTTTCGCGGTTAGGAAAAGTTGAACAATATTATTATTGTTCATATATCCTATAATTCTAATTTTTAAGGTAAATTTTTTTTCTTTTTTTTGCCGATAATGGCGTGTGTTTTTATGACGAAAGAAACTATTTAAAAGTTAGACCGATTCGAATAGCAAAGAAAGGCAAAGACCCAAATTTTTTTATTTAATTTATTGAAATTTGGCTGACCATACAACGCTGTTTCGAGTATTGCCAAGTACTCTTCATCAGTGGTCTTTGGAAATAATCGAATTTTTATTTAATTAGTTTATAGTCCGTATATAATTTGTTTGGACTGCAAGTGCCAGGCTTAGAACTCGTGCCTGTCAAATTAGAAGCGATGACTAATCGTGTTTATCCACAAGAAGCCAAGGCTGTACAAACTTTCAATGCTCAAGTTCCAGGTTTTATTGTCACTTATTTTTATTTAATTAGTGACACCAACCAAAGCATTTGCCGTGCTTTAAATTAGAACGAGCTTATAAACTACAGCTTTATTTGGAAACACAAGTTCAACGAATTGAAAGTTAATCTTTGAGCTTGCCTATTTTTGTTTCAAAGCTATTCTTTTTGTAGAGACATCCGTTATGCATATTTTCTTAACTTACTTTATGTAAAGCGCCTTTTTTGGGTGCAATTTTACAATTTGTTTGGACTGCAAGTGCCAGGCTTAGAACTCGTGCCTGTCAAATTAGAAGCGATGACTAATCGTGTTTATCCACAAGAAGCCAAGGCTGCACAAACTTTCAATGCTCAAGTTCCAAGTTTTATTGTCACTTATTTTTATTTTAATTAGTGACACCAACTAAAGCACTTGCCGTGCTTTTAAATTAGAACGAGCTTATAAACTACAGCTTTATTTTTGGAAACACAAGTTCAACGAATTGAAAGTTAACTTTTGGGTTCGCCTATTTTTCGTTTCAAAGCTATTCTTTTTTAGAGAAAATCTGTTATGCATTTTTCTTTAACTTACTATTAGTATAATAAGAGGCCCTTTTTTGCAATTTTACATATTTGTTTGGACTGCAAGTGCCAGGCTTAGAACTCGTGCCTGTCAAATTAGAAGCGATGACTAATCGTGTTTATCCACAAGAAGCCAAGGCTGTACAAACTTTCAATGCTCAAGTTCCAGGTTTTATTGTCACTTATTTTTATTTAATTAGTGACACCAACCAAAGCATTTGCCGTGCTTTAAATTAGAACGAGCTTATAAACTACAGCTTTATTTGGAAACACAAGTTCAACGAATTGAAAGTTAATCTTTGAGCTTGCCTATTTTTGTTTCAAAGCTATTCTTTTTGTAGAGACATCCGTTATGCATATTTTCTTAACTTACTTTATGTAAAGCGCCTTTTTTGGGTGCAATTTTACAATTTGTTTGGACTGCAAGTGCCAGGCTTAGAACTCGTGCCTGTCAAATTAGAAGCGATGACTAATCGTGTTTATCCACAAGAAGCCAAGGCTGCACAAACTTTCAATGCTCAAGTTCCAAGTTTTATTGTCACTTATTTTTATTTTAATTAGTGACACCAACTAAAGCACTTGCCGTGCTTTTAAATTAGAACGAGCTTATAAACTACAGCTTTATTTTTGGAAACACAAGTTCAACGAATTGAAAGTTAACTT